TGCTGTAAGTTCCAGTTTCAGGCAAATGTTGTGATAAGCATCTGTTTTGTTAATGTTCGTGTCAGGAACAATAATAAACCATAGTACATACAGATATTAATAGTTGATGGACGTGTGTGATTCAGCGTGGGACTCGCTATAAATGTGTTAACTTGAAATCTGCTCAGCTGCGTTTGGTGGGGAAGACAAAACAATGTGTGCAATCCTTTTATATGTGGACAGGAACATGCTGAACTTTTTGCACATTAACATGCAACTGAGAATTAATCATACGGCATCCTGGCAGTTACCCTATTCACTTCATCCCAGTGATGTGAAATGAGTGGGGAAACTATTTTTGGACCTACAGAAGTTACAGTCTATTACATCAATTTACTAATAAATCAATATCTCAGTATATTTGCCTGTTCTTTGCCTACTTCAACAATCATGTAGCTTATCAGCTTCAGATAGAGAATGTGGTTGCCGAGGGGGGCTGAGCATGGTTGTTTGGATGAGCTGCTGTAAGCTGTTCTGTTACCAGAGATATCTGGAGAGCAACTGCTCAATGCACCACTCTGTGTGCAGGGCATTGACTCCCAAACTGTAGGGTGGGCGTGAAGCCACTGCAAGTGCCTTCATATGGAGAATGAAGTGGAAAACATGGAAGTGAAACAAAAGCAAATTATTGGATCATTTTTTAATTCTCTCCCTGTACGGATGAGAGACGCCAAAATTATGCAATTTTTCTCAGCAATATGCTGCAAAGACAAGTGTGCTGATTAGATATTCAACTTCATTTTATTCAATTAAGCATCTGTGAAGTATGGTTTGCTGCTACAAATCGAAGCTTAAAATATGCCACATTTTTTCCCAAGTTTCATTTATTCTGCATGACTCATTTATAAAAAAAAACATCATGCTTTAAACTAGAAAAACAAAAACAACTCCTGATCTCTTAACCACAACTAAGAAACCATGACTGGCGACAGTCACATGCCAACAATTTGCATTGGGAGGAAAACTTGAACATATGCAAAAAATAAAATAATGGAACAAAGCTCAAAAACGGTATAAAGAGGAGAAAGTTACGAACGGGTTGTTAAAATGTAACTTTCAGGAGCAATGACGTCAGAAAGCTGCAGATTTTTTTGTGTGTGTTCATAGCAGCCGAGGTTTACACGGTCATTAAGGTTCAAAGCATTAATCTGCTGTATCTTGAAATCATGTAGAGCTTGGTATTCACGGGGTTGTACTCATAGTTAACAAAATTCAATGTGGATTTTCTTTTTTTAATCACCACCTGAGATCTCTGTGCTGGTAGAACTAACCAGTCATGTTGTTGTGTTAATACTCAACCTTAAAAACAGTAAAACTAGCACAAAATGCAATAATTTTTGCAAAGCGGAGCATCTCACAGTTCTATGATTCACAAATAGACAACCCGCAGCATTTTTCACACAAAAAAACAAACAAAAAAAACCCCACTTTCTTAAACATAGTTAATGTTTGCAAAAAAAGGTACAAACTCAAATCCATGTCCTCTCTTAAACCTGACCTTGTTGAATTAAATCCACCTGACACTTTTGCACTTAAGCAACAACTGAAAATTAAATTTAAAAGCATAATTTAAAATATATAAAGTCTAAAAATATTATGCCAGCAGTGACTTTTCATTTTAACCCAGGCCCAAATGCCAGTCTCCCATGTTAAAAAGGGTCCATTCATCCACGGCAGCCTGCTCCTTACACTGCTTCTCTTTATATCAGCTCGCCTGACTTCTGAAGGAAAAACTTCAGAAGAACGCCCCCACCCCACAAACATCAACCATGTGTTAGAAAGCTTTTTCAAGTTTTCTTTTTGGTAAAAAGCCTCGAAGATAATCATCTGTAACATGTTAAAAAAAACAAAACAAAAGGGTTGTGTCACCTGTGGTTACAAAATATTGCATTACACACCCACAATTACCACTTGCGACACTACTTTTAAAGTTTTTAAGGTTATGACATCTCAACTACGTGGCTGGTATGATATGTAGCGCTGATCCTGGAACAATATTAATCATCCAGTTGCAGGAACAACACAAACATGGGGGAAATCCAGTATGTCATACTGGCACCATGAGAACTAAGCCTTACATTTAGGTTTACGGTTAAGGGTAAGTCCAAAAAAAAGAGTCTAACTTTTAACTTTGTCTAACTGACAAATGGCTTCATTCATGTTGCTTGGACAAAGCTTGTTCAACCACCTTTCAAGCAGGAAAAAAAAATGATTCATGTAGCCAACAACTGCAGTTGTCCTCTTATCAAAACAGCAACTTCATGATTGCCTGCATGTTACACATCTAGAGGAAATATACATGTAGCTAGAAGTATTAAAACAAGGCTTACACTCTTCCCAAACAGGCAACAATACAACGAAATAAAAGCCTTATTCAGATGCTTCTGCATAGCTGCAAGCGCACTATTCTTTCTGCATACATGAACAGAACAATGGCCCAATTCTAACAATGGAAAACTAGTCCTGACTGAAATTTGAATACTCCTGTCATAGGAATTACTCACCTGGTAAATCTCCAGAACCAGACATGGTTGGAGTAAAGATGAGGAACAAGTTAGACCAGAATAGGACCTAAAAAAAAAGAAGGAGATTCAACATGTGTTTTTTCCATAAATATTTACCTGTCTCTGATTAAAACAGCAACTCACAAACAAAGAGTAGAACGGTGGTTGACAGGCTCCTACCTTCCCGTTTTGCTGCACTGGTGTAAACTGGGTGGCTTGATGGGTTTTGTTATGATGATTGGTGAGACACACAGAAACGCATCTGGCAATGCATTGTGGGAGACCAGCAAGGCCAGCAGAGCAACTACAGAGACACCAGAGTTCAAAAGGTCAGCTGTGAGAAATTTCAGTTTGAAGGCAAACCCTTGTTACACTAAATTAAGGGAGGTTGAACATGCTTCGTCGAATATGACAACAATACTTTATGAAACTGTTGTAAAAAATGTATTTTAAGGCATGAAAGAGCGCAAAACCAACAATCCTCTCAAAGTGAAAGAGAAACATCTAGTGCTACCGAGAAAGACACAGTGAAATGAATGAGCACAGACCATTATCCTGTTCTATAACAGTGACATAGCCACCGCTTGCCTGCAGGGTTATTCCAGAGGATGATTGCAGACAGGCTGCATTACATAATCCCTGCTGCAGCAGCAAGGTGCATGCAACACCGGTAATGACCACTTCAAAATAAAAGCTTAGATTTCAATCAGGCACACGCTGAAGGTTTCCTTAAACACATATTTCCTACCACATGGAACAAAAAACATGCACGCCATATCCTCCAACACTGTAAACACGACGGCTGGGAGGATGCAGAGGTGACTGGTGATCTTGGAAATAAACTAATTGCGACCTCTTCCGGGACAATTTCTCAAACTATCATGCAGAAATTTATCTGTCTGAGAATTTCAATCACAGGGTGAATTAAAAGAAGCTTAAAGCGGATATATGGAGAAATCGTCACAGGGTTAGCCGTAATAAAGGCCACTGCCCTGCACACGCAGAACTCCACTGAGGAAATTCGTATTTTATAGTCTAATATTATAAAGGTAACCGCCCCATGCCTGTACAATTGCTTTTGGGATAACATATTATCATGATTTTAAATTCAGAAGCTAATGAGCCAATAGCATGCCATGAGATTCCTGCACGCACATAATGTGCAGGTCAAAGAGAATAGATAGGTCTATAACAATTTAGCACAGCTTCACTAAAACTGGTGCAGTTTGGCACGTTTTAAACCTTCCCGAATTTGAGAGTGGTTGTTACATATTCACAAAAAGCCTAGCACTGAGTTTTTCACGTTTACAAAACAAACCAAAACCTGCCTCATAGTTCAGTTATTTATTTTCTGAGTGGAGTCTGGCGGAACGAGCTAGCGGAACCAGTCTGAGCTGGACAAAAAGACACAAAACAGCTGGCGACTGACGGTATTTTAAAACGGTTTTATCAGCAAAGTTAGCATTGCTTTGTTTGCCTTTTCTTACCGGAGGTAATGACGGCTTCAAAGTGACGATTGAAATATGGATGACCCTCCAATGTCGACCAGCGCGCGAAGAGAACAACAGACTTGTTGGGTAGCAGCCATTATTGGGTTCGATAAATAACAGCCGCTTCCTTGACGGTTCCCTTTGCTTGTTCTCGCGCATTCTCATCTCATCGCGAGAATTGGCCTTCACACGTGTGCCTTTCCGTACTTGTGAGGACACTGTCACAGTCATTGGGTGTAACGCAGTACCTGTAACAGTAACTACAAATAAAAACAATTTCTACTTCAAAAAACTTTTTTCCCTTTGTTATGTTTTATTAAAATAACCACTTATATTTTGGAGATTAAATATGCAATAAAAATCTTAATAATAATAATAATAATAATAATAACAATAATAATAATAATAATAATTATTATTATTATTATTATTATTATTATTATTATTATTATTATGATAATAATAATCTCAGAAAAGTGTTGCCTGCCCACCTCCCCCTATAAAGGGAATTAAAACATACAACAACAACAACAACAACAACAATAATAATAATAATAATAATGATAATAATAATAATAATTATTATTATTAACATTTATTCAAAGAAATATCTTGAAGTTGCACAGTAAATATAACTTACAGGATATATTACACCAAAAAAAGAAGCCCAAAAGCTACATCTCAGACTCTACAGGTTTCGGTTAGCATGCTAAATGTTCATGAGAGGGGAATTAGAAAAATACTAAACAAGTATGGTTTGTTTGGGAAGGTTTCAAGGAGAAATCCTCTTCTCTCTCTTAAACTACAACAACAAAAACAACAACAACATGGCAGCACAACTTAGGTTTCCAAAGTTAAATGTGAGCAAACCACAAGACTTGTGTGACCAGACCAAAGTGGAGATGTTTGGCTACTGTCTTAATTCAGTAAGCCAGCAAAAACAAAAATAAAATAAGGGCAAACATTATGAAATAAATAGTATTGTTAAACAGAAAGGAGACAAGAGGAGAGGAAGTGAAGAAGAGAGTGTGTGGAGAGTGATGATTTGTGACAGACAGCAGCAAGAGTGAAAAGAAAGGTTTACAACATGGTAGTGAGAATTGCTATGATGGATGGTTTGGAAATGGTTTTTACACTTTGAAGAAGACAGGAAGTCGAGGGAGAGACAGAGGGACAGCCCAGGTAGAGCAGTTTGGTGACAAAAGATAGAGAGGCAAGGCTGAGCTGGTTTGGACATGTGCAGAGGTGGAACAGAGGAAGCACTGGATGTAGGATGCTGAATGTTGGCTGTAGTGAAGGAGGACACGCAGAAGGTTGGTGTGACACAGGAGGATGCTAGGGATAGGGCGGGATAACCTGATTATCAGCTGTGGCAACCCAGTATTACAGGAAAAAGTGCAACAGCGTGGTCCAAGATAATGCATCTTATTAAAGAGTTATATTATTAAATTGTTTAACCAGCATTTAAATGCTAGAATCAAAGAAATATCTGTTATTTTGAGTAAAGGCAGGAGAAATAATGCTACAAAGATTAATTCACAGAGTTATTATTATTTTTATTTTATCAAGTCTCATTTTGTATAAATTTAAAAAGCAAGTAAAGTTACACTTTTCAAATATGTGATTATGTAAATGTTAATAAAAACACAGCTAATGAGTAAAAAATTGTTACAAAACTAATAATACTGCAAACACTTCTACACTCTGCCTTTGGTCAAATATAATTTTACAGCCGTGCTGAACATTTTATGCAACCAATTTCACATAAACAAAAACTAAGCAACATCTTATTGTGATGAGTTTATATACTCACTGTTTTACTAAAACTTGTGCTTACATTTGAACTTACATTATGTGTAATTGTTTTAGCTGTTCAGTGTTTGTCTGTATCATAAGTGAGTGTTTGTCTCCGCCTAGCGGCTGACTTGCATCATTTTAATGTCAAACTTCACTGGCTACCTGTATTTTCTTCAGGTACCGCCTATATAAAGTCCAACCTGACATACAACACATTAAAGAAAGGAGAACACCTCTTCAGCATTTAGCACAGGTGTGCAGGTAAAGTGTTTGGCGGTGCTGGAGGAGCATGCAGCACACATTCCCCGCACAGCCAAGATCAGGGCGTGGTGGTAACTCGTTTATTACAGGTTACAAACTATGTGGCCATTGTGACGAAGCGCAGTGAGTTTGAACTTTGTAAGTCGTGAGCAGCGTTTTCGCCCTGCGCCCTCCCACTTTGTGGCGCGTACGCCAGGATTTGCATACAGAGGAGTAGAGCGCCCGCCTCCCTCAAGAGTTTGGTTTTCCTTTCCAAGCAGTACGTTTCTGACCAGACTTTGCTCGGCAGAGGTGGAAGTTAAACTCGGGTGGATCGACTCCTCCGCCCAGCCAGCGCTGACAGACCTGCTCTGTTTTATCCCGCTGTGCGTTTTCCCCACTTCAGCTGTCGCTCCGTCGGTTTTGTGACTTTCTGGGCCGATCCATCAAGATGTCTCAGATGAGCAAGAAAACGATCACGACGACGACCAGCTTCAAGAATCTACAGGCCTCTCCGGAGCCGATGGTTACAAGGCTTGTCTCCCCCAGCCCTGTGCTCTCCGGGAGCTCCGTGTCGTCGGTGACGCCGATGTCTCAGGTGTCTCAGGTGTCCGCGGTGCCGTACGCGGTAAACGGCGCCGGCTATGGGACGTTGCGGTACCTGGTGCCTGTGCAGCAGCAGCAGCAGCAGTCCTTCGTCCTGATGCAGCAGCCTATGATGCAGCAACCTGTGATGCAGCAGGTGGTGTCCCCGATGTACCTGCAGAATATGCAACAGCTGAGTATCGGCAACCAAAACGACTACATGTACCAGGATCTGAGCATGACAGAGGTGAGGCCCATGCGCGCATTCAACCAGTATTCCCCCCACAACTCTTATTATTTAGTCAGTTCAAAAGTTAGAAATACTGGGAGGCAAACCAAAAAAGGAATATGGTTTACTGACAGCAACTAAGAATGAAGATTTCTTAAGATATGTTATTTACAATACCCACAATAATCACCCACATTAAACTCTTCTTTGTTGGTGTGATGCAAAACACCGCAGAGAGTTTCCAAAACATGAGATCCTTGCAGAAGCTTCATTAGAAATCAGATATTCAGGCAGCACTTTCAGGGATTTCTTTTTAATATAAAAATTACTTTTTTCTACCACTGCTTTGATATTACTTGTGTTTGTTTTCCATGTGTGTTTGAAATTAATCATCAGACATTTTAATGACCACTGAATAACTATCATTATTGGTTAACACAACAAAACACACCTTTCAACTTTTCATGTATTTTGAAATGTGTTTTCTTTGGAGGCCTGGAATGTGCCTGTCTCTAAAGCACATTCGGTTATCTTCTGTTATTTACATTAGATATAAATAAACTAGACGTGACAGTCAACACAAAAAAGTTCAGACATTTTTCATACTGTTATACTGTTACTGTTATATGTTTGCATTTCCCCCAAAATAATGTATTTAACACAGTACAGTGGGCTACGTACTGACTGATTTCACTCACTAAAATTAAGCGTTTTACCCATTAGAGATAAAAACACAAGCATAAAATGCTAGATATGAGTATCAGTACAGATTTGGTGGTTTTGATGCAATCTACTAGATCTTGTGTTGGTATAAATCAGTTTCTGCTCACACATGGCTGTTAAACATCTTTAGATGGGTGATTGGTTTAAGTTGCAGTCAGCTATCAGAGCAGGGAGGCTGCTGTGTGCAGATAGTATGGGTCAGCCATCAGGAAAGCATTAGCCATGTAAGCATGTTCCTAATATGGCATCAGCTTCTCATTTCTCTCACTGTGCTGTAAATTTTCTCAAGGCTGAGGTGATGTTTGTGCAGTTAAAGACACTTTTTCTGATTTGCTGGCATGAAGGAGGAATTTCGATTTTTACTATGTAAATATAAAAGCCTTTATAAGAGCCTTTCCCATTTAATACGGGCGATCGTGGCTCAAAGAGTTGGCAGTTCGTCTTGTAACTGGAAGGTTGCCGGTATGAGCCTTGGCTCGGACAGTCTGTCGTTGTGTCCTTGGGGAAGACACTTCACCTACCGCCTGCTGGTGATGGCCAGAGGGGTCGATGGGGCGATATGGCAGCCTCTGTCAGTCTTCCCCAGGGCAGCTGTGGCTACAACTGTAGCTGCCTCCACCAGTGTGAGAGTGAATGAATAGTGGAATTGTAAAGCGCTTTGAGGGCCCCGAAAAGCGCTATATAAATGCAATCCATTATACTGCATATTAGTGATGGGAATTCCAGCTCTTTTTAGAGAACCGGCTCTTTCGGCCCAGCTCACTAAAAAGAACCGGCTCTAAGAGCCGCTTCGTTCGCGACCGACACATCACTACTGCATATGCTATTTTTTTTAAGTGGGGTTTAGCAGAGTGAAAATCCGTCATGTGTATCGCTTCATTAGATTAAAAACAATATGCAGAGTAAAGTAAATATCCAGAATAAAGCCAGAAAACATTTAGTTGAAATTTTTTTAACATTATTTTATGTCTTTAAAGAAATGCATGAGTGCATAAATACTAACTTGTATTATGGCAAGAACTTCTGTTCATTATATACAAACACCAAGCACAACCAATCGCTCACATTAAAGCTACACATGGAGGTCGTCGTACCGTGTCTGCAAAACATCTCCTAGAAGGGGGCTGCTAGCCTTGTTGAATAACTGTTAGTAGTTGAGGTGGGGGTCTTTTCTTTAGATTTAGATACTCTGATTACAGTATTTAGTTTCCTTAACTGATTACCCAGTAAATTATTGCCGTGCTGAAAAGGCAGATAATGTATGACCCAGATGTTCAGGCTTCAGGCTCCTATTAATGCTCAGGTAAAGGCAGTTTTTTCTGCTCTTAGCTCTTTATGAGCTCAGTTAGAAAGGAAAATGGTCATCTCAGGCACATGACTCTGGCTGTGAGAACAGCAGCACCATCCACTTGTAGTTAAAATCATCAGTTTGTAAGGTGAAGCCAATTAGAAGAAGCCACGGATAGCTATGATGAATGAGGAATAATTTTAATGGTGAAGTATACAAAGTTACTATAGTAGAGGTAAGAATAAAGTGCTTTAAATGTCTTGCATTATCTCCCCACATTTATTCAAGGATTAAGGAACTTTTGCCAGCTCGGCCCATTGCCAGTAAAACAAACAGCTTAAGGCTCGCTGGCAAAATACGATATGGCATTATTAGCAGTACGTCCTCATGATCACTACCAAGTGCGCTCTAGGTCTCTTGAGTTTTGCTACCTGAGTACACTCAGCCTGAGCTCCGATTTCTCTGAATCTTTATCTTCCTTGATCATTTGTTGATTTACGAGACACCGGTGTGGTCCTCCAATTCCCAAAGTCTTGCCAGCGAACATTTCCCTGCTCCAGTAATCGCTTCCTGAATATGTTGGCCTCTGCGCCTGCAATGGTTTACACAAGGTTTCTGCTGCAGGCTGAAAACATTTGAATTATATCAGCTTTCTACATTTTTATCTGCCTCTTTAATGAGGATTTTATTTCATATATCTAGCGTCGAGTGCAGCAGAATTGAAAAACTTCCTCTGCGTCTTTTTTTACTTTGGCTACTTACAATTTCAGGCTCATTCTGCTGCTTAAGCCACTGCATTGAAAGTGCTCACACCGTGTGTGATAAAGACGTGCTGCCACACCCCGTCTGACTGCTGAGGCGGCACGCCCTGACTTTTGAAGACTCATTTATTGTTCCACCTGATGGGATCCACATCTGCTCAAGTAGACTCTGGTGATCGAGTGTTTAACTGCCGCTCGTCTTTCGTTTTTTTAATTAATGAAGGAGCTGAAGCTGATTTGTTGTGTCAGTAACTTACAGGACTTTTACTTTAGAAAAAGCTGCCATGCTCTATAGTTAGCTCTTAATGACCGGAGGCTGTGCATGTAGTATAGTAATGTAGTAGTACTACATGCTGTATTTGACCGTTTATCATTTTTAGGTTTCCAGATTTCAGTGTAACTGTTGGCACTCGTTTGTTTCATAGTTCAAGTAATCATCAAAGGTGTTTGTTAACCCTTTATTGACCAAGATTCATAAAGGCCTCGAATACTTGTTTTTTTATCTTGGCTATAAAATTGTAAAAAGATTAAAATCTCACCATTCAGGAAAGTAAGGGAATAGAAGCAGACATGGTAAATCTAGGCAGAGGGGATTCGTTCTGTCTGTGTTCAGACAACAATACCTTGTGAATGTCTTGTGCTGTTATTATACACTGATTATTCCCTTAAAAGCCCGTCTTCTTTCTTAAACTGTTTAATTTTGTAAAATGGGCTTGCTAGCCGGCCCATGGTAGATAAAGGGTTAAACGGTTCGTTGTCCAGACGTCTCACTTTAATAGGACTGACTGATTAGGAATGGGAATTCGAGTAACTTACAAGAGCATCCTGGAGAATTACACACAACAGTGCTTCAGTGGAGAAGAAAGGAAAAAAGTAGTAGCCAAGTAGAGCCATGAAGTAGTGTTTCTCATGGGTAAAGCATGTTTCATTTAAAATACGACATTTGCCGCTGGTGTATTGGTGTACCGATTTGTTTTCTGATTTTTAAAGCATTGCAAAACTTTTAATTGGCGTGTGCATCCGTGTATACTTTTATTATCAATAGATTCATGGGGAAAAATAGCTGAGCATTTCAGATTTCTACTGTGTCTTAGCGGCACACCTCATGACCCATGGACCGCTTTTTGTCTAATTCACAGCTTGTTTGCCTCATTGGAATGTATTTTGATTTTTACTGGCTCGGATTCAATTTTCGGTTTTGTTAATGCCTTCAGAGTGAAAACAAGTGTCAACAATGCTCACAATGTCAGGATTTTTAAAAACATTTCTAAAGCATACAAGGCTAAAGCAGCTGTATTCAAATTTCTGGCACGTTGTTGCTGGGTAGACGCCCTCAAATGGGAAATAATAAGCTTTCTAATTTTTCCAAGTTGCACTTAACTTCCCAATGAGCTCCATTTATTTTGCACTGTTCTTTATTAGTGCTCTGAACTGGATATCCTGAAGGTCATGATACAAAATCACAAATTCAGATTTATTTAAACACACTGTATGTTGGACATAGAGTTTGTATACCATGTAATTATTTATTTAAAGAATACAAGGAAGAACCTTAGAAACGAATAAGTAAAATGGGGTTGAGTGTTGTAGGACAGTGAGGCCATGTTTGGGTCTAGCAGAGCAAGATTCGTGTTACTAACGGGCCTCAGCTTCCGACTGCTCTGATGCCTCAGCTTCAGATTCAGAGTTTTTTCTCCTAGTGGATTCATATTGCATCACAGAGTGGTGCAGCTTGTTTCAAACAGGGCTTCTCAAATAAAATAAGATAAATGATGATTATTTTGATGGAGTTCAATGGGGTTTATGGGTTCAGTGTCCCAAGGACTGAGGTCTGTTGTAGTTCTCTTTATGTCTGACAGTCTCTTCTTTGTTCTCTCCCTCTTTTGCCGGCTGTTTCAGAGCACCAGCAGGAAGTCTTCATCTGTGTTCAGCCATTCGACCAGTCCTATCAAGAGCCCTGCGACAAGTGTTGAGGAGGAGGTAAGGACCTCACATTCACCCAGTCACAAAAGCCTCCTTAATGGGTACAAAATGCTCTATAAAGCAGAAGTCTCTGTACTGCCTAAGCATTAGC